GGTGACTTAATTCAATGCATAATGAGATGGTCATAACATTACCCTCAGGAAATGGTTTTACATGTTATTATCGCACTACTTTATTAATTTCATACTTCATTAGTTAGCAACATATCAGTACCATTACTAAGCACCAGCTAGTGGACGAAATAATTGTATGTACTCTTAGATCACTCTATTAACCTAAGTACAATTAAAAATCAACGTGTCGATGTACCTCGTGGCCTGATGGAGTTTGATTTCCCGCATTTAGAGACGGAAGTGGTGTCATGTATCACGTCAGAGCATTTTCATAAGTAATTTAAACATTTTATGCGACATCTGTACCGCTGTATGGGCTCATTCAACGTGAAGTATAGTTTAATATATTGTATTGGTTCTCTTTTGCTCCTATTGGCATTTTATCAGAAATAGACTCCTCAGAAACATGGCAATCCAAACATTGTTCAAAACGAAAACATCTATTGCATCAATCATAATGAGTATTCTCTTTGTAGTTGAATATAACAAATCTGTGACAAGAAAATTAAATATTGGTAAGTTGGAAGGTGTTTTTTTGTTTTAGTTATTTGTGATGTTCATAATTTGATCACCTCATTGTTACTAGAATAATTCAAATTCTACTTTGTGCTCCATGGTTGAAATGAGCTTCAGAATATTATTTGCATGAAAATTAGTCTTTATTGGCGATAACTACGAGTTGCAATTTAGACGCGAACAGTTATATGGGCAATATGATGATTATAACAATTTACACATACAAGTGGTGATATTGTGAAAACAATATTATTATTGTTTTGTATCCAAGGAATCCGAGAAAAAAGAGTATCGGCACGTCAGTGTTTTACACCATGCAAAAAGTAGACTCATATCATGAAACACGACAATGTATCAGACTCAGAACCTAAATTATGCATTGGTTTGTTTTCATCATCTGTCTACACAAAACATACAATGCTCTAGCAATTGACTGAAAAGGCAAAATAAGTCGAACGGTTTCATCTAATACAAATCTTAGTGCAGTCCTGGCCACACTTGCCTAACCATTATACTAAGGCAAATAACCATAACAATTTGGTGGGTTTCAAATGCGTCTACATTTTCTAGGAAGTGAATCGTTTTCTGAGGTGTTTTAACTTAACCTTAAATTCTTTATAACGTCCTCCAGGTGTATATTGGATATCAAGCTGGTCCAACAACATTGATGCCCTAATCAGGGTACCTGTATCGCGACATGATTTCTCCTCACCGCCGAATAGTTGAATTCATTGTTTATTTATATTTACTACTTGTACCATATCAACATTTAATGTTGTTATAAAACTTTTTATTTTTTGTTGAAATCATTTTCATTCATTCATTCATTCATTCGATCAACACTACCTCTTCATTATGGGCATCAATAATACCTGCAGTAGAACTAAATACTTACCCTAACTCAGTCATCAGAGATTCGCTAACATTTTTAATATTTGGCTTGATAATTACTTTTTTTTGTGATTTGGTTCTGGAATCACTAATTGGTTTGTGTTCACTTCTTTCTGTTCTTTACAACTTTTATAAAACACATCTTTAGCAGAGTGTGTATCTATCTATATTATGGTGATTTAATAAGATGATTCGTCTGGCGTACCACCTGATGTTTTTTCCATCTACCGGCGATCTTAACTTTTTCTTCGAGATTCACATCATAACAAACACAGTCTCCATCCTTAAACATCACTTCTTGAACTTTTTCATCATACTGAGTGTCGTCTTACTGAGTCATTGCAATCTGTTGAGAACGTCAATGCATTCCGTCAGATCCACCGGGTATATTGTCTTGAGCTTTTAGTCCAAACATTAGTTCTTCGATGATGTTTGATTAAAAACTGTTGACCTTGGTCCAATTGTATTCTCGTTGAACATCAGTAGTGTTAGATGAAATCTTCATACAGATATTTTGCTGTTGTTATTGAGGTCTGGTTTATGTTTCAACTTTACAAATTTGGTTATATGGTTTATGCTAACCAACACGTCATTAACACCTCCCCTTGCTTCTTCAAGTGATATCTGTTTGGATGTTATAATGGATACCACTGGGGCTCTGGTTTTCGTACGAGGTAGATCATTCTTTTCTGCAATCATGAATTGGCATTATTGAAATTGTACTCTCATTTAGAAATTTCAGTGGATCATTGAACTGAGGAGTTATAGCCTTGGTAGTATGTGCATTTGCCTTAATCAAATGTGTTTCTTCACTGGAAATACAATATTGTATTTCATCGGGAGTTATTATAATTTCTAAAAGGCGAGGCCCATTCTTGATTGTCATAACAATGTTATGTCCACTTGAGTAATTTGCCAATGCAGCCCACTTTTTTTGGTGGGTGCTCATAACAGTAGTCTCAAAACTTTTCAGTTCAGTTTTAATGCAAGATATTTCAGTTTGTGGGCTGTGTACTTTTTTCACTTGCAGACAGGTTTACACTTGAATGTGCCTGTCACTGTTGAGAGAAC